TGTGCACCTGTGGTCCCAGATGCGTGGGAGGCTGAGGTGTGGGCGTGGCGCTGTGCACCTGTGGTCCCAGATGCGTGGGAGGCTGAGGTGTGGGCGTGGTGCTGTGCACCTGTGGCCCCAGTTACATGGGTAGGAGGATCACTTGAGTCTGGGAGGCGGAGGTTGCAGTGACCTGAGATCATGCCCCTGCATTCCAACCTGGGTGACAGAGTGAGACCCTACCTCAAAAATAAGTCAGTAACACCATGGGCTGATCACAGAGGCCCTGGGCTTTCCTCTTCAGCATGAACTGCTGCTGGCTGGTCGTTCTCAGCATTCTTGGGTGGGAGTTTCCTAGTTGGCACTGAGCTGCTTCTGTGAGTTATCTGTGAGCATTTCTGGATGGTCGTTTCATTGGAAAGTCAGATGCACGGGACTGGTGCCTTTTCCTTTCGGATCACACATCTGCCATGACTGAGCTCACAGAGCCGCCCTCGAGGCACGCTGTTCCCAGCTCATGAGGCGTTTCCATTCCTAGGTGAAGAAGCATCTCCAGGACCTGTCCAGCAGGATCTCCAGAGCTCGGCACAACGAACTGTGAAGGTGTCAGGAGCCTGGCCTAGCAGGGAGGAGGCCGGCGTGAGGGACCTGCGCTCCTGGCCGTGGCATTCCCGTGGACAGCCCGCCGTGAGGGTGGCTGGGACTGGCACAGGTGTGGCTTGTTTCTGGTGACTGCAGCCGCTGCTGTCCCGACACAGGACTTGGTGGTGGTCGCGTCTGGGTCTGAGATCGGCCTAGCTCTGACAGAGAGGGCTTGGCTTCCGCTCAGCATCAGCGTGGCAGTCACCACCCCGGGGAGGGCCTCCATGTCCACCCGCTGTGGGTCTGCCAGTCCTCTGCTAAAACAACACAGTTACAGAAAAAAAATCTTACATGTCTGCCGCTGGAAGTTCTATGTACAGAGTCCTTAAAAATTATAGTGCAGTATTTAAACCACCCGTTGTTGGCTGTCACTGAGTGTCCTGGTGGCTGGGGCTGGAGCCAGTGCTCGTGAAGGGATCACACCACAGCCAGCTTCCCTTCTGTGCCCCATGGGTCTTTGCAGCCAACCGCCTTTTCCCGTGAGACAGCCCGGCCTGATTTAAAGCCAAGAGTGCTTGAGGCTGAGGGGAAGATGGCAGAGAAGAGTGCGTGGTCCCATGGAGGGCCAGAGACTGGCCTGGGGCAGCGTCTTTCACCTGTCCTCACCTCTGCAGCTCAGTGAGCTTGGGAGACCCCAGTGAACCCACAGGGCCTCTGTGCTCCTAAGTGTGCTGTGTAAATGCTCCGTCTCACAGGGATAGGGATGAAGGCCTTCCCCCTACCACAGCTGATGGGCTGGGCATTGCCCAAGTCCGGTCGAAGTGTGGTTCCCACGTTTATCTCACGGGGGTAGGGACAGCCACGAACGTCTACCCCCGACCACAGCTGACAGGCCGGGTGTTGCCCAAGTCCGGTCGGAGTGTGGTTCCCACGTTTATCTCACGCAGGTAGGGACAGCCACCAAGGCCTTCCCCCGACCACAGCTGATGGGCTGGGCGTTGCCCGAGTCCAGGTCAGAGCGTGGTTCCCAATTCTGAGCCTGGAAGAGGCCCCACCGGGCGTATTGGGTTTGACTGCAGCTAGATCTTGGCTTGACTGTTGTGATGTTCTGAACGCGAGCATCCACTCAGCCAGCGTTTCCAAGAAAGGTCGAGGCTAAAGGCAGCATGCTGGGAGTTAGTGCATCTAGGGTGGAGGGCCCAAGGTTACGGCATGTGGGTGCCTGTTTCTACATGGACTCCATCCAGGGCGGGTGGCCTTCTGCCTGGCCTAGTGCGCCAGCCCCAGCAGTGCCCCTGTGTCCCTTCAGCACAGGAGCCTCACCAGGCCTCCCTTAGCATCCACCACACTGTCCCTCTCAGGCAGGGCTGGGCTGATCGCCCACTCAGACGCCCAGAGAAGCACTGTCTGCCGGGATCTCCATGCAGGAGCCCACATGCAGGGCACAGCCCTGGGGCCTTCACAGTCTTGGGGGTGGGAGTGGTAGGCCTGGGGGTCTGGGCCCAGGTTGTAGGTGTGAGCCATGACACCCAGCCACCACATCGTCATGGCTACAGTTGGGCTTAGGTAAACCCTAAATCAAGGCGGTGTGCATTTTCCAGCTCTTCTTAAAGATTCTTATGGCTGTTCTGTATACATTTTACAATCAGCTTCTTGATTTCTACCAAGAAAAAGAAGCCTGCTGGGATTTCAGTAGCCATTCTCTTGGGCGCATTTTTGAATACCTTTTCTGAATATCTTGAATACATGCTGGGAAGAGGCTGTATCTGAACAGCATCCAGCCTTCCGAGTGTTGACCGTGCGTGGCTCCAGCATTTAGCCCGTCTTTGACTTCCCAGCAGTGGACTGGAGTTCTCTGTGCATTCGACGTATTCTTAGGTGTTCCATGTGCTATTGAGGACTGTGTATTTTTGTTTCATTTCTCACTTGTGTGTGGTGCTTTAATCCTGTGCCCTAAAGTCCTGTATTGGTCATGGCGGTATTTCTGTGGACTTGAGGGTTTCCGTGTGCGCACATGTGTCCTCTGTCTGACCGTGGCTTTGCTTCCCCTCTGCAGTCTGCCTTAGCTTCTCACTGCATGGGTGAGGTGAGCTGACGCTTTCTTATCTTATTCCCAGTCTCAGTGAAAATGGGCGCGCACACACACGCACACACACACACGAGTGTTCACCACAGCTGTTTCCAACTGGGTGTTACGACCCCAGAAAGGAAGCAACTCAAATATCCACCCACAGTAAAGGGCATTAAAAACAGAGCACAGGACAGGCACAAAATGGAGCACGGCAACGAAAAGGAACAGCTTCCGCTACGCTTGCAGGTATTTTCCCGGCTCCGCATTGGGTTTTCATTGTACTCGCAGGTGGGAGAGGTTCCTCACTTGCTGAGGGCTTTCCCGGAATCGGTGTTGAATGTGGTCAGCTGCCTCTCGTGCACCTGGTGAGATGCTCAGGAGGTGCCTTCCCGCATGATTGGTGAACTACGCCAACTTCCGCGTGCCAAGATGGCCCGCCGTTTCCGGGTAGGTCCCTGTGGCCGTGGTGCATTGTCCTTCTCCGCATGGCCAGGTGAGATTTGCTTATGCCGGGCTGAGGACCTCCTGTGTATGAACGCTCATGAGGGGCCCCGGACGCTGATCTTCATTTTCTTGTCATGTGAATGTCTGTCAGGGTTTGATGCCGCATTAAGTTGGCCTGAAACAGTTCCGTCATGGTTTGTAAGGAGCGGCATTATTTGTTCCATAGAGATTTGATGGGTGAAGCCATCTTTGCCTGCCATTTTCTTTTTGCTTAGGTGTTTCATTAAGAACCTGATTTTTAAAAATAGACGAGACCGGGCGCGGTGGCTCACACATGTAATCCCAGCACTTTGGGAGGCCGAGGTGGGTGGATCGCCTGAGGTCAGGAGTTTGAGACCAGCCCGGCCAACGTGGTGAAATCCTGTCTCCATTAAAAATACAAAAATTAGCCAGGCGTGATGGTGCGTGCCTATAATCCCTCCCTACTCCGGAGGCTGAAGCAGGAGAATCACTTGAACCCAAGAGGTGGAGGTTGCAGTGAACCAAGGTCATGCCACTGCACTCAGCCTAGGCAACAGAGGAGGCTCCATCTCAAAAAGAAAAAAATATAGACATGAGACTTTTAGATTTTCTGTTTCTTCCTTTGTCATTTTTTTAATGATAGGATTGTCATAGAATTTTATCTAAGTTATCAAAACAATTTACATCAATTGTTCACAGTATCTTCTGTATACTGTGCAATGGTGTTCATTTTCTTTTCTTTTTTTTTTGAGACATAGTTTCACTCTTCCTGCTCACACTGGAGTGCAACTGTGCGATCTCAGCTCACCGCAACCTCCGCCTCCCAATTCAAACAATTCCCCCACCTCAGCCTCTGGATAGCTGTGATTACAGACACGTGCCACCGCACCCGGCTGATTATTTTGTATTTTTAGTAGAGACGGTGTTTCTCATGTTGGTCAGGCTGCTCTCGAACTCCTGACCTCAGACTATCTGCCTGCCTCGGCCTCCCAAGGTGCTGGGATTACAGGCGTGAGCCGCCGTGCCCAGCCTGGGATGTTCTTCTCCCATTCCTGCTGTTGGCAATTTGTGTTTTCTTTCCCTGATCAGACTAGCTAAGAATGTATCATTTTTACAGATATTTTCCACAGAAAAACCCTACTTTTGGGTTCATTGATTTTTTTTCTATTGTTTTTCACTGACTTTTAATCTTTTTATTCTTATAAATTTCCTTTTTTCTACCTGTTTTGTGTTCAATTTGCTCTCCTTGCTGTAGGTTTTTATGATAGAGACTTAGATAATTGATGAAGAATGGGAAAGATTGGACGGTACAGTTAAAAACTTGCCCTACTCACGCCCGTTGGAGAAAACTTTCTGAAGCACACGTGGAATGTTTTCACAGTTGACTGTTTACTAGGACCCCAAGCGTGTCGACCATTTGCAGAAGATAAGATATAGATAAATACACGCTATGTAGATAAGTAATGTAAATCACATTCTTTGGCCAGAGTGCAACTGAGGAAATCAGTAACAGAAAGACAACTAAATACATGTGATATTTGTTTCATTTTACTGTAACTTGCACCTCCCTGATGACAGGCCCAGCGCCTTTTGGTGTGCTCTTGGCCATGGGATTATCTTCCTTAGGGAAGGGCCTGCTGCCAGTTTAAAAAACTGGGCCTTGGAAGCCCTGCCTTTTTTGTGAGTCAGGACCTTACTGTCTTGCCCTGGCTGGAGTGCAGTGTTGCGATCATAGTCACTGCAGCCTCAGACTCCTGGGCTCAAGCAGCCTCCCACCTCAGTCTCCTGAGTAGCTCGGACTATAGGCATGCCACCACTATGCTCTGCTAATTAAAAAAAAAAAAAAATTTTTTTTTGTTGTTAAGACTGGGTCTTGCTCTGTTGCCCATGCTGGTCTTGAACTCCTGGTCTCAAGTGATGTACCTGCCTCCACGTCCCAGAGTGCCAGGGTTATAGGTGGCTGAGCCACCACGCCCAGCCTGACCTTAGAGTTCTATGTCTGGGTGTGAGTCCTTTCTCAGATATGCTGTGAATAATTTCTCAGTCTCTTGCGTGCTATTTTACTTTTTTTTTTCTCTTTTTCTGAGATGGAGTCTCACTCTGTCACCCAGGCTGGAGTGCAGTGGCACAATCCCAGCTCACTGCAACCTCCGCTTCCCAGGTTCAAGCAGTTCTTCTTCCTCAGCCTCCCAGGTAGCTGGGATTACAGGCCTGGGCCATCATACCTAGCTGATTTTTTTGTATTATTAGTAGAGATGGGGTTTCACCATATTGGCCAGGCTGGTCTCGAACTCTTGACTTCGTGATCCACCCCCCTCAGCCTCCCAAAGTGCTGGGATTACAGGTGTGAGCCACCGCACCTGGTTGCTGTTTTACTTTTAATGGTTATCTTTTGAAAGCAGAGGTTTCTAATTTTGATGAAATATAATTTTTTTTTTTTTTTCCTGTTCTATTGCTCTTATTTTCTCATCAAATTGAGACTGGGGAAACGACACAGCAGCAAACCAGGATATATCCTCCTTTTATTTATTATTTATTTATTTATTTATTTTATATCCTCCTTTTAAAAACAGCTTGAGCCAAGCATGAGTGGCTCCCGCCTGGAATCCCAGCGCTTTGGGAGGCTGAGGCGGGCATATCACGTGAGGCCAGGAGTTTGAGACCAGCCTGGCCAACATCAAGAAATTCCATCTCTACTAAAAATACAAAAAATTGACCGTGTGTAGTGGTGGCGTCTGCCTGTAATCCCAGCTACTCAGGAGGCTGAGGCCCGAGAATCTCCTGAACCTGGGAGGTAGAGGTTCCAGTGAGCCAAGATCATGCCACTGTACTCCAGCATGGATGACAGAGCAAGACTGTCTTAAAAAAAAAAAAGCTTGA